AACCGCAGCCCAAATTCTTCACCAACAAGCGCAACTTTTTCAGTCCGACACAAAAATTCTAAAATCTAAAATTTAAGAAATCTCGGCCAGCAAAGTGAAAAGTGGCAATTATTTCTCTATATCCAGTAAAATTAGTTATCTCGAATTTTGGTAATTTTTGGTAATTTTTGGCAAAACAGTCTATTTCTCTGTTCCACAACAATATTTCAGTCATTAACTAGTATTTTAAGGTGTAATTTTAATTAACATTAAATAAAGTGAACCTTTTCTTCAGGAAAATACATTATTTTTTTTTAATAAAATCAAAACTCCTAAATTCACAAGCATATGTGGTTTTATCGGAAGTTCACAAATGTAACGTGGCAACTTTGCTCGTTTGCACATTTTTCGGTCCGAAATTGTAAAATATTTGTCCATGACGCGCCACGAGTTTTGTACAGGTGGGTCAATGTTCCTTTAACACCATTTGTATAAGTGCAAAAAAATTATTCTATTAATTTTTGAATATTAAAAATTTCTAAACTTCGAAGCGTTTATAAAAATATATTTACATATATCCACGGATGATTTTTAATTTTTTTCACCCGTAAGCAAATCTTCAGTACCATAAAAAGATTCAACCACATCAAAGTACAAGATATGCTATGTCCAAGCTAGTGCTAGTCCACTGTATATATCCATATGTATGTCTGCATGTATGCGTGTAAATATGTCAACTCAAATTTGATTTTAACCCATTTTAGCGGACATAGTTTTTTTCATTCCAGACGTTAATATAACATGAATTTTTTAGTAAATTTTCATGAAAGTTACACGTATCGTCGAGAAAGTGTTTACATGCAGAATTTTAAACGAAATATTATTATTCTCCATATAAAATGTACGAGTATGGCTTTATTAAATGTTAACTTATGCGAAAACCTAAATATTTCGTCAATCTAGGGTTAATATTGATGACGTCGTGGCAATTCGCAGAAATTGAATAATTTGTCTGTGGAGGGAGGACAGCGAGGGGAAGACCAAAGCAGATGAATCGTACATATGTATGCACATATTTACATTTATTAATGCATACATATTTATGCGTTTGTCTTTTTGGATGAATGAAGAATTTCATATATGTAGTGATTTAGAGATCGCAATTTGAATAATGTACTGTGGCGCGTATGCTAGAGGCGATGCAACTTTTTGGCGTCTCGCCGTTTGTCTTGGTTCAAATCCCGGACGGACCAAGTAATATTTTTTTTCTTGTTTTTTTTTAATTGTCATATCCATATTCCATTTTAAATTTTACTTTTAGCTTTGTTTAAAATAATATATGTAAATGGATATGTACGTACAAATGCCAAAAGTTACTGAAAACTTTATTGTAAATGTTTTCACTAAAGTATTAGTTATTGGAATTAAAATTTTATGCGAATCCAATTTTTATTCCCATTTTTAGAAAGCGCAAGTATGTATATATTCATACCATCAAAATTATTTCACAACTAGGTAATTTTAAACACACATATGTATACAGTATATTTTGCTTTGCTGCCTCTATGCTTAAGTGCACATTTAAGATACCTACCCCAAAATGCGCATCAGAGGCATTATTTTTAACATTTATAAGGAAACTGCTCCGATAGATGCATTTAGCATACCTGCACATTGGCGATAACTGCCTTAAAAATTGTGCGACTAGTATCAATTATCAAAGAAAGTATTACGTTTACCTGCACTGGCCCTACAATTACCTAATTTTACAACTTTTTATTTATTTTGTTCATCTCGCAGAACAATGAAAATGGCTATAAATTTATGTAGTTATATAGATAATTAGATACTATTCCCTAAAAATTTCGCTTGCAGTAATTTCTACGTGGTAAGTGCTTCTCCATTATTTGGTTTCATAGGGATTTGGATACCTTCCTCATTGAAGTAGTAAAGAAAATTCGCTTAAGTGCCTTTTTCGGTTAAGTGCACAAGTTTCTCGTGTAAAGAAGGATGTGCAGCTAAGCAAAATATACTGTATATGTACATTAGGGGGGTCCGAAAAACAGTAAAGTCGGAATTGTACTGTTCTCACCCCTAGATTGTTCTATATCGAAAAAAAGTATACCAGTATTTTTTTATTTTGAAATCAAATAATATTCAGAGCTCGCTCAAAGCGCTCAAAGTTTTCCATGTACTTTTATATGGGAAAAAACTTTTCGTAGAAATGGTATAGAATTTTGGAAAATCAATATTTTTCGATCGGAAAACTCTGGTTCTCTTCAGAAGACTTTCAATAATAATACGCAATTGTTTATTTAACCATTTTTTAATACTAACGATTTTTTATTGGTCGCCCCATTGCATTTTTCGGGGTTTTTGGCGGACCTATAAATTATAGTTGCAATGAAAAAATGGTTAAATAAACAATTGGGTATTATTATTGGGAATCTCCTACAGATAAACAGAGTTTTCCGATAGAAAAATATTGATTTTTAACTATTCTATACCATTTCTACGAAAAGTTATTTTTTCCCCATATAAAATACATGGAAAACTTTACGGGTATATTTTTTTTTTTGGTATAGAACAATCCTAGGGGGTGAGAGCATAAAAATTCCGACTTTACTCCATACTCCATTAATTGATAACATAAATACATACTTGCATACATGCATATATAGATAAGTATGTACATACATACATACGTATGTGCATATTTCTGCCAAATACTACGCACATGCATACATATGTACAACTCAGCATACATACATAATTGTATTACCAGTCATTTTTCACCTTTAGGTAGCGATATAATGTATGACGTACTTGGACCAAGATTCCAGAAAAGTCTGCCAATGGGCTCGTACTCAACCATATTTCAGGCGGAGGTCTTCCCAATCGATGTCTGTGTTCGCGAATGTCATCGTAGAAGGTAAATAAGGCCAGAATAAATATTATATCGGACATTCAGGCAGCGTTAAAGGCCTTAGAGTCTTTTAAAACGGCATCAAGGCTTGTAAACTCTTGAACCACCTGAGAGCCCACAATAGCGTCACGCTGTGGAGGGTTCATGGACATGAAGGGTTTGAAGGCAACGAAAGGGCTGACTGTCTCACAAAGCGTGAAGCCCAAATGCGTTTGCACGGTCCCTAGCCTTTCTGCGGTACATCTAAAGGACACACTGCAGACCTACTTAGGTGCTAGCTGGGAATAATCTCAAATTGCTGCCCACAGGCGGAAGTCAAAGGGAATAAGACAATCAAAGATATGCATAACTCTTTCCAGCAGGAACTCCGAAAGACACCTTGAACCTAGAACTCTTACTGGCAACCTGACAGCACACTGCTAGTTAACGTACGGTTTTAATTAAATGGGTCTTTCTGTAGAGACGGACTGTAGGGTTTTTCGGCTGGTGAAAGAAACCCATTCCATTCACATTTATTTTTGATACCATATAATTTATCTTTTCCTTTTAGAATTTCTTTGTATTTTGTTTCAATTATAATATTGTTCATTTTCTTAACGGGTCTTACAATTATTCTTTTGAATGTTTCACTTAATGTTAGGGGTAAATTAAATTAAATAAAAATAAATAATAAAATTAACTAATAATATAAAATAATAAAATTAAATTAGATAAACTAATAAAAAAACGGCGAACGTGGGCGGCCCGAAGCCATGCCGCAGGAAGCTTCTGATGACAGCGGTCCAATCGGTGCTCCTGTACGGGGCAGAAATATGGGCTGACGCATTGAAAGTAAAAAAATACCGGATTCAAATGTCTTCGGTACAGCGCAGAGGGGCATTACGCATTGCTTCTGCTTACCGTACAGTGTCCGCGGACGCGGTTCTAGTTATTTTTGGCGTCATGCCAATTGAGCTACTTGCTTACGAGCGAAAATAGATTTACAATCTCAGTGCCGAGATAGGTCGAGCAGCTTCCGCGGCAAGGGCGCGCGAGCAACTGATCTAGCAGTGGCAACAAAACTGGAACGCGAGCACAAAAGGTCGATGGACACACTCCCTGATAGCCGACCTTCAAACATGGCTGAACAGACCACATGGGGAAGTCGATTTCTACCTGACACAATTCCTCACCGGTCATGGTTACTTCCGAGAATATCTTCATGGAATGGGAAGGGTGGACTCACCGTTCTGTCACTACTGTGGAAACGTCGAAGATAACGTGTACCACACATTCTTCACCTGCGAACACTTCTTGATTTCGCGCAGAATGTTGGAAGAAAGACACGGAGACATAACTCCGAACAACATAGTTGGGGTAATGATTTCCAGCGCAGAAAAGTGAGAAGCAGTTGCGAGATACGTGAAATTCGTACTCCGCTGCAAACGAGAGGACGGTTGTCTACTGAGGACACCCGAATGAAACGCCCCTACAAAAGAGCAGCCCCAAGGCTCTAACAGCGCGCTCCTGCATCTGAAGACATGC